AAAAAATGGTAAAAAATAGGGGTTTAGCTGGTAATTACATATTAAATGCACAAGATTGGTAACTAAAATGTAATTACCATGAAACCAAGAGACCAAAAATAAATAAATAAAAAATTAAATAAAAAATAAATTAAATTAAACTAGTGACTAAAATAAGTCATGCGTAAAATTGGAGTTCAGAATTAAAATAATGGGAATTACCATAAGTGATTAAAATGGAAAAAGTATAAGTTATAGGGACTGAGGACAACGTTTACCCGTGCGTGAAAATACACAGTAAGTCCCCAAGCAAAACGGCGCCGTTTTGCTTCTGGTATAACTATGTGATTCTAAGGCCAAACGGCCTAACTCCCCTCATTCTCTCTAGTAGCTCTCTCTCTACAAAAAGAGAGAACCTCTGGTTCTCTCGCTTGTCTCTAGCATGTCCCATCTGAGGGATGGCCGGCCACCGAGCCATTGTCGACGAGCGATGGTCAGGAAAGTCGAAACTCGCCTACCCGGTTCTTCTCAACCCCGAGATCCCAAATCCAAACTCCAAAACATCAAACTTGGACCCCCTCGGCGTAGATCTAACAAAAACCCTTCTGGTTCTTTACCTTTTTCTTCCGATGGCTCCTTGGTTTTGAGACGATGATGATTTTTTTTTTCTTGTTTTCGTCACTGTTTTGCTCTCTGTTGTTTATTGTTTTGGTGTTGTTATGCTTGTATTTTGGCTCGATGATGTTTGGTTGATGTCTTGGTGTTTTTGATACTGTTGGCAGTGTTTGATCTCTCGATGATGATGAGTTTTTCTGTTCGGTGAACTATTTCGCTTGGATTTCTGTATAATGTGGTTGTTTCTGACTGTGGGCTGGTTGCTCTCTGTTTCTCCCCGTTGATGTCACCGTGGTGGGGTATTTATACCCACCCCACTGGTGGCCTGCTCCGATGAAAACGGGGTTATTCCCGTCTATTTCATGTTAACGTTGTTCACGTAGCCGGGAATCCCTGGATGGTGCAGTCCCAGTTTTCCCGGCCGGCCGATGCGCCGTTTGACCGTTTGGCCCCCTATGTGGCGTTGTTGACTGACACAATTTTATTGACAAATAGCCCTTCTTGCCTTGAGCTATGTTGTAAATGATGTGCCTTGGAGCTGAGCGTAGTCGAACTCGAAGGTATTTTGGACACATATAACCCTTCTAGCCTTGAGTTATGCTGTAAATGATATGCCGTCGAAGCTGAGTGTAGTCGAACTCAAAGGTCTTTTGTTGGCAGACAACCCTTCTAGACTTAAGTTGTGCTGCAAATGATATGCCTTGTAGCTGAGCGTAGTCGAACTCGAAGGTCTTTGGTAGATAGCCCTTCTCGACTTAAGCTATGCTGCAAATGATGTGCCTTGGAGCTGAGCGTAGTCGAACTTGAAGGGTCTTTGGTTGGCAGATAACCCTTCTCGACTTAGTTATGCTGCAAATGATATGCCTTGGAGCTGAGCGTTGTCGAACTCGAAGGTCTTTTAGTGACAAATAACCTTTCTAGCCTTGAGTTATACTGTAAATGATGTTCCCTCGAAGCTGAGTGTAATAGAACTCGGGGGGTCTTTGGCAGATAGGCCTTCTTGACTTAAGCTATTCTGCAAATGATGTGCCTTGGAGTTGAGCGTATTCGAACTCGAATATCTTTGGTTGGCAGATAACCCTTCTAGACTTAAGTTATGCTGCAAATTATATGTCTTGGAGCTGAGCTTAGTCAAACTCGAAGGTTTTTTGGTGACAGATAACCCTTCTAGCCTTGAGTTATGTTGTAAATGATGTGCCCTCAAAGCTGAGTGTAATCGAACTCGGGGTCTTTGGCAGATAGCCCTTCTCGACTTAAGCTATGATGCAAATGATGTTCCTTGAAGCTAAGCATAGTCGAACTCGAAGGTCTTTGGTTGGAAGATAACCCTTCTCAACTTAAGTTATGCTGCAAATGATATGCCTTGGAGCTGAGCGTAGTCAAACTCGAAGGTCTTTTGGTGACAGATAACCCTTTTAGCCTTGAGTTATGCTGTAAATGATGTGCCCTCGAAGCTGAGTGTAATCGAACTCGGGGGTCTTTGGCAGATAGGCCTTCTCGACTTAAGCTATGCTGCAAATGATGTGCCCTGGAGCTGAGCATAGTCGAACTCGAAGGTCTTTGTTGGCAGATAACCCTTCTAGCCTTGAGTTATGTTGCGGATAGTTTGTTTAAAAAAATGGCTTCCCTTCACGGGTCGAAGCCGGTCATCATTCTTCAGGTGGTTCCTTTGAGTGAGTCCAAACTAAATAAGACGATCTTTGAATTACTCCCCTTTTACGGGAAAGCCTACTGATGAATTCTAACAACCGGATATCTTCCGTTGTGGAATTAAAATCTGGCTTGAAGACATTAACTTGAAATATGTTGCTCGTTGTTTAGTTGAGCTGAACTGGATTTGTTCTGAATTGGTTCTCGAACTCATCTGTAGTTGACTTTGAGATCTGTAGATATGTCAAGTCGGTTGAGGTGAAGCCTCTCACTGCTGAGTTAAGCAACCACCATCGTTCTTTAAAGGTGCTTGTGAATCGAGTATCATTCATCCTGAAGTCGAAACTTGACTCTAAAAGCTGCAAAAATCATGTATGCTAAAATGATGAATGTGATGCACCTAAGTATGTCTAAGATGCATGCAATATGAATGAATTATGTGTTATTTCTTGGATGGAGTCTCGTGTTTTGTCTGCCAATCTGGTCCATGGAATTGATCGTGCCCCCATCCACTTTTCAAGCTTGGGCTTTATAGACCTTTCATATATGAGAATGTTCTTGTTGAAAATGTTTTTCTCCTTTTTTCTTGTTTTATGAGGGAAAATGATAAAAATGATGTGAAATATTGTTCGCAATTGCATCAAATTATAAACGTGAATTCAAGGAATATCAAAGGAATCAAGAGCTCTTTTAACGCTTTTAGAGTTACAGCTCTTTGACAAACGTTCAAATGGATGAGTTGGCTTTAGGTTGGCCTCCTTTTTAAGGATTCGGTAACCCAAAATGTCATTTTTTTAAATATCGCAACATGCTTTGGCATTTCAATTGGGTGCGGAAAAAATGACGCGACTAGTATAATCAATTATTAGACTTTTTATTTTGGAAATCTTCCATTTGTTCAAGTTTTGTAAGCTCCTCTAATAAAGGTAGTGCAGAAATATCGGTCTAACAATGAAATTCTTGAGTGCTCGTGTGAAATTGACTATAACAGGTGTTCCTTAACTCCCTTAGTCCATCATTACCAAAAATTTCTTGCTTAGATAAATTTGTCGTTATCTGGCTAGTTGAATCCATAAAGCATGGGCGTTTAACTAATTACTTTAGAGGGACAACTTAACATTATAATCACTTTTATCAAGTTAACTGAATGGTTCATCTCATCACAAAGTCTTCGGTCGGACAATAGTAGTGGAGCAAACACCGAATTGCCAAGTGTTCGAGCAATGTCATGGTTAGAATGTATATTCATAAGGCCAGGGCTTTCAAGTTTCCTTTATAACTAATTGCCTTAGTGGAATAGCTCAGCTTTACGGATTTAATTTCTTAAGATTATCAAGAAGAATCTGTTATAGTCTAGGTGTTGTTAAAAGTCAAAAATTTCATCTTTAGAGTTCAATTTTCAAACAACTGACCTAAACTAGATTTACTTACTCGACTATTTCATCTGTAAAGATAATGATCATCATTGAACGTCTTAAATGAAAATTATAGTAATTCTCATATGCAAATGATGCCCCATGTTGTCCCCACATTATGAAAGGAAAAAGGTTAAATTTCAAGAACAGGGTACGGTGTTTGAGTATATATTCTGGGTAAGGCCAAAGTCCTTGTTTTAAATCATGCGATTTTATCAAAGATCTGTAACTTTGAACCATTTACAGATTTTCTTAATTCAAATGACATTCAAAGAATTGCAAGTTTGCAAATGTGATTCATTGCTTAACATCTTTAAAGTAACTTAAATTTATTCGAATGTCCTTACACAAACTTGAGATGAAAGAAAAAAAACAAATTCAAACAAAATGTCTCAAATGATGAAATGGTTTTCCTCACTTGGATGCCCCCAAGTTGCTGAAGTCGATCCAGTTCTGGTTACGCATCTTCTGTACGACTCTTTTGAAAGCGTAACAGTTCTCAATTCTGTGCCCTGGGCACCGCCGTGATATTCACAATGAGAATTTTCATCATACCACTTGGAGTACGAGGGCTTCATGGGTTCCACCGGATATGGTGACACTACGTGGGTGTCAAGAAGTTGCTGGTAAAGCTCCTTATAGGTCATGGGAATAGGGTCGAAATGCTCTCTTTCCTTCTGGGGTTATCTGAAATCTTGTTTAGAAGTACCTGATGGTACAACTGTAGTTGATTTTGGGCCGGAGATTGTAACACTTTTATTGACGTGTTTGATGTTGTTAATTTCTCTATACCTCTCTTTCGTAAGAGGTTTCTTATTGGTTTCCCCATCCTTAATCTAGCCCTGCTTTATGGTCGACTCGACCATTTCTACGGCCATAACCAAGTATGAAAAGCTTCCTGATGTGATCGCAACCAGGTGTTTGAAGTATGGAGTCTTCAGGGTCTGTACGAAAATTTTTCGGGTTTCATATTTCATCCAAAGGTGGATGCACTTGTACAGCCAAATCTCTCCATTTTTACGCGTATTGCCTGAAACTCTCGTTATGCTTATTTCCCATGCTTTGTAGCATAACTTGATCTGGCCTTATGTCATTGACATGCTTGTATTGTTCGAGAAATGACTTGGTCAGGTCCTTCCAGGTCTTGATATTTGATCGGCTTAATTGGTTGTACCACCGAATGGCTGAGCCCGACAGACTCTCCTAGAAGCAGTGGATCATGAGTTGGTCATTTCCTCCATATCCTATCATCTTTCGGCAAAACATGGTGATGTGAGTGGATGAGCAACTACTCCCGTCAAACTTCTTGAATTCCGAGGACTTGAATTTCGGAGGAAGAACCAAATCATAGACCAGATTGAGCTCCGCGACATCGACTCCAGGGTAGTCATGGTCCTCTATAACTACCGTCATTTGGTGCTCCAATTGCTTGATTTTCTCCTCCATCTTCTTTGATTTGTCTTCTTCGTCTGAATCTGGTATATGGTAGTAACCTGGATTGTTCTCAGGGTTAAATACAGAGGACGAGGGCTTCATTTTCGCAACAGATGAGTCCCCTCGAAGTTCCAGTAAGATTTCAGGTAAGACAACCACTTATGGGGTAGGTGGTATAGTTACCCCTTCCGGTGAACCTGCCCCAGGCGCACTAGTCTGTTGTAGGCCAACTAACATGGAAATGATCTGATCAACCAAAGACTCTTGGTTCTTCATGATTGTATTCAGAGTATTCAGACTACTCTGTTTTATCTTGTCTTCAAGTTCTTTCTATAATTTTGCCATGTTCTCCTCGATTTTCTCCATTCTTGCTTTCATCTTCTTCTTTTTCAGGCGGGTGTTATGCGGATGGTGCGTGTCCTGAGCTTGAGGTGGTACCTCCAGTATTTGTTCCTTTTCGATGAGACATGTTTTCGTTAGTTAATGTGAATGCAAAGAAAATAACAAAATGTCTAAATGCATGATGCATGAAATGTCTGAGGCATTGATCCAAAAAATGTGCATGTTATTTTGAATAATCCTTATTGTGGGGAAAAGTGTTACGTCTGAAGAGACAAAAAAAAATTTGATGGTATAGATCCCGCACAGCTTCTGACAAGTTGGTTCGTCTTCTGCCTTTTTTCATCGGTTGAATATCCTATCGAACCATTCCGACTCCTTTGGCTAAACTTGTGCAGGTGATGGGCTTCTTGCCCCAAAAAAGGTCTCGAATGACTGCATCCTCGGCTTTCACTCTATGTCGAGCTTGCTCCAAACGAAAGCACCATTAGAGCCCTCCATCCGAAGTTTACCGACTTGTTTCTAGAATTCGTTAATAATGGCATCCATCTTGTTCTCGTAGTCTTCAAAAGAAGCGTCTCAGTCCGTAGCATTTTCCTCATCTTGCCCCTGCAATCTTTGCCTCTGAGTATTCTTTGACCACGGCTGGACTTATGAGCTTTTTATCTCTTTGTATTATAACCCCTTTGTCCATTAATGCAGCTTATTCATATTAACAAACATGTTTTTAGTGGATCAACACCTCGTTTTAAATGATGCAAGTGATGAAAATAAAATGAAAGAGAGAAAAAAGAGTTAGTGAGGTAAAATAATAAAAAAATAATCATGAAAAATAAAAGTCATACCTCACATGATATCTACCTGAACATGCTTAGTATTCCTACCCGGACATGATTTCTATCCCGCATGCTAAATCCTATCCGCATATTTTTCTAATTTGCATGCTTTGAATAGAAAATAAAGCAGGAAATAAAGCAACTTAGGGTTTAGAATGAGATTTTGGGATGGGCTCTAATTCCCTATACTCTCGCAGTTTAGGTTCTAAATAGGGTACTCGAGTTCTCCTTATTGGTGCCCCCTTAGTCTTGCCAGACCCTTAGTCCTAAGCTCATTACAAGCTTGTGTGGACTAACTTAAACTCGAGAGGAAACATTCCCTTAAGCCCATACGGAGAATAAATTCACACGAAGACATAAGATATATGAATCCCGAAGGTTACTTGCTAGGCCCATACGGTGAATAAATTCACACGAATGCGTCGCTTTCGCCCCCACTTAAAAGGGTTTGGAGCTCGGGTATAGAGCTAGAGATGACAGTTTTGAAAAATCTGAAATCATTAAAAAACGTCAGTACAACTATTTATTTGAAAAATAATCAAAGATAAATAATTTGAATCAAATAAATAAATTAAAATTAAAATTTACCATTTTCGCATAAAAAGACAACCGAAAATTAATTTCGGCCTGACTCACTTACCTTTCCCCAATAGAGTCGTCAAGCTGTCGGAAACATATTTCGGTTGGACCCCGGAATTGGGCTTCGACTTGAAATGAGTGGGTTAGAGTCGCCACCGATCATTTATTTTAAAACATATAGGTTGATCGGATACCTTTCTTTCTTACTTGATCCGCGTTGTACCAGAAACGTGTCGGGTTCGGGAGTCGGTTACGGTCAATGAAGGATTAGCACCCTTGAACCGCCCTTTCGGTACCAATTAATTTGCCGATTGCCTTTAATTACGAAAATTAAAATTTTAAATTTAAATTTAAAAATTCGATTCGAATAATTACCTTTGATCAGTTAAAATTTATCTACAAAGTAAAAACGTTAGCGAAAATAAATAAATAAATAAAAGAAAAAAAGAAAAAAAACATTATTATAATAAAAATAAAAAGATAAACAAACAAATAAATAAATAAATAAATTTTGTGAAAAGACAAGGAAAAAAGTTAATAAAGCAATGAAAAAAAATGAATTGAAAAGGAAAAAAAGGTAATAGCAAGGGGTTACATTCCAAAAAAAATGGTAAAAAAATAGAGGTTTAGCTAGTAATTACATATTAAATGCATAAGATTGGTGACTAAAATATAATTACCATGAAATCAAGAGACCAAAAATAAATAAATAATAAATTAAATAAAAAATAAATTAAATTAAGCTAGTGACTAAAATAAGTCATGCGTAAAATTGGAGTTCAGAATTAAAATAATGGGAATTACCATCAGTGATTAAAATGGAAAAAAGTATAAGTTACAGGGACTGAGGACAACGTTTACCCGTGCCTGAAAATACACAGTAAGTCCCCAAGCAAAACGGCGTCGTTTTGGTTCTGGTATAACTATGTGATTCTAAGGCCAAACGACCTAACTCCCCTCATTCTCTCTAATAGCTCTCTCCCTCTACAAAAAGAGAGGATTCTCTCTAGCATATCCCATCTGAGGGATGGCCGGCCACCGGGCCATTGCCGACGAGCGACTGTCGGGAAAGCCGAAACTCGCCTACCCGATTCTTCTCAACCTCGAGATCCCAAATCCAAACTCCAAAACATCAAATTTGGACCCCCTCGGCGTAGATCTAACAAAAACCCTTCGGGTTCTTTACATTTTTCTTCCGATGGCTCCTTGGTTTTGAGACGATGATGATGTTTTTTCTTGTTTTCGTCACTGTGTTGCTCTCTGTTGTTTATTGTTTTGGTGTTGTTATGCTTGTATTTTGGCTCGATGATGTTTGGTTGATGTCTTGGTGTTTTTGATACTGTTGGCATTGTTCGATCTCTCGATGATGATGAGTTTTTCTGTTCGATGAACTGTTTCGCTTGGATTTCTCTCTGTATATTATGGTTGTTTCTGACTGTGGGCTGGTTGCTCTCTGTTTCTCCCGTTGATAATGTCCCCCCGTTGATGTCACCGTGGTGGGGTATTTATACCCACCCCACCGGTGGCCTGCTCCAATGATAATGGGGTTGTTCTCGTGTATTTCGTGTTAACGTTGTTCACGTAGCCGGGAATCCCGGGATGGTGCAGTCCCGATTTTCCTGGCCGGCCGGTGCGTTGTTTGACCGTTTGGCCCCCTATGCGGTGCTATTGACTGATACCATCTTAGGGTTCCTAAATCCTAAACTTTGATAGGCTAGATCAGGCCCATTCATTTGGACTAGATTTGGACCTTAACAAAAATAAAATAAAATAAATTAAATTAAATTAGATTAATAAAATGAAATGAAATAAAATAAAAAAATAAATATTAATAATAATATATATTATATAATAAATGTTTCAAAAAAATTATTTTTTAAACTATATATTATATTTAAAAACGTTTTCAAAACTATATATCATATAATTTTCAAAAATGATTTTAAAAATACTATATAAGTTTTCCAAAATGTTTTTTTAACTATTTATTATATAAATTTTCAAAAAATGTTTTTTTAAAAACTATATATTATATTTTCAAAATGATTTCAAAACTATATATTATATAATTTTCAAAATATTTTTAAAACTTATGTATTGTATATAAGTTTTCAAAAACGATTTAAAAACTATATAATATATATTTCAAAAACTATTTTTTGAAAACTATATATTATATTTTTCAAAAACATTTTAAAAAATTATACTATATTACTATAATAAAAAATAAATAAATAAAAAGCTCAAATTCGGACGGAAATGAGTGTCTATAGTACCCAAAGTATTTTTTTGTCAAAGTGCCTAAAGTTACAAGTTTTGTCAAAATATTTATCTAAAGTATTCTTTTGTCAAAATAAGTATTAAAATATCCAATCTTTTTTATATAAGTTCTAAAAATTTTGACATGTGACTTTATCTAAATAATACTTTAGGTATTTAGATAAAAATGATTGAATACTTTAAGTACATATTTTGACTAAAAAATACTTTAGGTATTCATTTTGAACAAAACAAATAATTTTAATTACTTATTTTTAAAAACAATACTTCAGGTACCTAGAAGAAAAAGATTATATATTTTAGATACTTATTTATAATATAAGCCATTTAAAAATAATAGGACAATTTGTGCATTATAAAATGGCTGACTTGGAGATCAGATCACTAATTAGTTGAAACCTCAGCTGCATCAACTGTTAATATGTCATTAACGTAGGATTAATAAAATAATCCGCCAGCATGAACCCATCCATCAGATTCAACTGATATGTATTTTAATGTAATTTGAATTAGAATACAAACTAATTTTTCTAATTAGAAAACTATCGACTTATTCCCATAAATAGTAAAAAAATACACATTTAATCAAGTAATTTAGTAAATTAATATTTTTTTTTAATATTATTATATAATCACCTCAAACTATTTAAAAATAACGATGAAATTTTTTTCAATTATTTCATCATCTCTAATCGCTCATTTGCCGCTGGAATTAAAAGTTTGATTTGATTTCATATATTTATTATTATCGTTGTCATACCACATTATATTATTATTTAATAGTATCTTTTTCGGAGTAGGAAAAAGGAAGAAGGAATATTTATAATACTCATTATTATATTAAATAAGGTTTATGTAAGCTGATGGTTTCTCTTTTTTAAAAATTAATTAATTAATTAACTGTTAGGTCTCACCATTTTTGTCATGTTTAACAAGGTCAAATTTGATTAAATCAGCTTATCTCCGGCCTGCTTAACACCATTTTCTGCCATGTTTGCTTGCTTCCTTCTTCACTAATATAAAACATTTATTCTGCATGTAAGACTCGTAGAACGGTACAAGTTTTGG